GAGGGGGCTTTAATGACCTCATCTAAGCGTCACAAAATCAAATAGCATATTAAGGTATTAGAGTCCAAAAGGAAAAACTTGAAACTGTGTAACCCCCCCCCTTTAGAACTAGGAAGTTGATTATTTTAAGGGCAGACTGTTTTGAATATATAGACATCTGCATAAAGTCTTTCCTTGTAGTCTTCCCTCTATGTGCTCTAACTCTGATGTGCTGGAAATTGCTCTGCGGGATCGTATACATAGAATTCCATGCCCATATTTCAAGGGGCAACGTCAGGAATTTTCAAGCACAAAGCTGCCCATTCCTTATTTTCACTCTACACTTTTATTTGAGAATCTAACCCTATGTGAGTGTTGGCTCCCCTTTGTTAAATTTAGCTGTGGATTAGATGTGACTTCACTAGTGGCTGAAGTTCATATATCCCACACCTGAAATGCTGTCTTCAGCTGTGCCGTGTTTCCTGTCTTAGCCCTGCACAAACAGCCATGCCGGGGGAGGGGTGTGTGTGTCCCCAGGTCTTCCTTTCCCAGCACTGGTTGAAGACTGAACCATGGACTCAGCAATAGGTCTTTGGGAATGATCACTTCCACAAAGGTTCTGGACACTGTAAGCACCTCACCTATGTTTTCGCATTGACTGTCCCCAGCGTGGCTCATGCTGCAGTCTTGGGAGCCAGCCTGATGACCCCTCCCATGTTTCAGAAAGTGAAAATTCATTGCGATGACTTTTAGGTGTGAGAACAGTGCTTTAGCAACTGCACTGATCCGTAAGGCCAGTGGGACCTGGACTCCTCAGAATTATGTCCTTAGTACTGAGTGAAAGGGTTAAAGTTTACTCTACTCCTGGCACCTGCCCCCCCGTGAGTAATTCCCTTCTCGTGGCTTACTCCAACCCTGCCTACTCAGAAACACACACACGATTGGGGCTGGCCCTACTCACTGGTTCTCCAGAGTGATGGCTAAATTCCCCTTTTTGCAAAGCCTAGCTTCTACACCGTATCTCAGAAACAGAGCGGGCTCAGTCCCAGACCACCATAACGAAGCGAGTGCCGCAATCAAGTGAGTTATCATCTCTTTTCTGGTGGGGAGTCTTGGCTTGAGTTTGTAAAAAAAAAACAAACAAAAAAAAAAAACAAAAAGCACCTGTGAAGTACAATGAAGTGCACTGTTGAGCTGCAAGGACTGTGCAGACTTCCCTGGTGCGTGATGCAGTGGCATCTAATTAAATCACCTGGATCAAGACAGACGATTCAGTTCTTTCCTGACAAATGCAATGAACCCTTTTTGTGAGCCAACCATGGCTGGAGCTCCATCTGTAGTAAGGCCACTTAACTTCTCACATGTTAGCTCCAAGTTTTCATTGATAAAACAGGTCTCTCAAACAAGTCCTCACCTCCTGTAGTGCCATGCGTGGCTGCCAGTGACAGCAGTTCCTCTCGCGTGTCAAACTGCAGTTACCCCACGAAGGAAATCGGCCAGTTGGGCAGTATTTGTTATGTCCGTTGTCTCCTCACAAGCCAGAGAGGAAAACTGGGACTCTGCAGGATCCTTCGGGGTGTTTTTGATATCTTGTGCTAAGTCAGTAATCCAACCTGAGACCGTTCTCCAAGAAAAACCCTCTGCAACAATTTGCCTTGTCTGGTGCTAACAACTCCGCAGCAGCCCCCTCGCACACCTTCACCAGCTCTCCCTCTACAAGAGGCCTCAGCTTCTTTGGGATTAGCTCGCTCACTACGCAACTCATCTGAACAACGTTGTCTCTGTCACAATGAGGCGTTGTGATTCCAAACTCAGCTGAAGACCATTGAGTTTATCCACACATTTGGCCTCCCAATTCACTGAGTTGAGCATGTTTTGAGCTGTAATGATGCTCCAGATTGGCTTTCGTCATTACTGCTAAGGCATCCCACCAACTAGGTATAGAAGTTTGCCTTTGACTTCAAGAAAAAAATAATCATTTGTCCATTGCTCTTGGAAAGATTGACACTCTGCATCAATTTTGCTTTTCTTTGTAGTCACCATTTGTAGGATGTCAGTCACATCACTTAAATTTCAATAACTATCCAGTGTGTGTGTCTCCGGTGATGTGATTATTTTGCTTTGATCGCCGTTCTAATCCTGCATCTTGGATTTGGAACATATCCAACATTCGTATCATTGACTCCACTCTTGAGGTCTTTTCTGTGTACTGTAATTTCATTTACCTTCATCTGAGATTCAGTTTTTGCGCAGATTGTTGATTGTGGACATATGAATAAAGGTTGGATTAGGGTTATTGTGTGTCGACAGAGTTGACAACACTGTCATCAATCATCAGAGGCAAGATCTCAACGTTGTGATGAATCATCTCATTGCATCTCATCTCATCATCATCGGATCACTGGATCGCCAGATAGGAAATATTTTCGGACTTGCAGACCAAATAACAAAATTTAGGATATTAGGTAGGTAGTTCTTTATAATTTTCATGTGTCACAAAGTATTCTTCTTCTCTTGATTTTTTTTCCCTCCAACCATTTAAAAATGTAAAAACCACACTTAGCTTATGAGCCATACAAAGATAAGCAGTGAGCAATATTTGGCCCATGGGTCACAACTCATTTATCCAATCTATTGTTGATGAACATTTGGGTTGTTTCCAGTTTGTACCTATTAATCATACAGTCAGGAATATTCCTGTATATGCCTTTGGAAAAGTATATGCATATATGTTTGATTGGAACTACTGGGTCACAAAATAAACACATATTCAGCTTAAAATGCCAAATTGTTTTCCCTAGTGATTGTATCGATTTGCATAGTACACTGGAGTCCTTACTGCTCCACAATCTTGCCAATAATTGGCATTGCCTGTCTTTTTCCTTTGCCCATTACACTGGGACTTTTTTTAAGCTTCCCAGATGATTCTAATATTTATCTAGAATTGCAAACCCCTGCTTAGCTGCTGCTTAACCTTCAGTAGGTGAAACCACATAAAACTGCTTCATTTACAGATTTTTAAAAAGTTAAATATTGGCTATTTCATATGGTTAAATAGATATTTCCTTCATATCTTATTTACATTTACACTAAAAATGAAACTCAAGCTGGAATGCATATCAGTTGGGAAAGCTCTTAAAGACTTCAGCTGAAATGAGGTTTTTAAATTAAAAATGGACTTCAGTGATTTTCACATTTTAGTATCACCCAGATCCTTAAAAGCTTGAAAGCAAACCAATGGTTTCCACCCTCGCTACAGATTACAATTGCCGGCAGATTTTTAAATCCTAAGTGTTCCTGCCCAAACCTCAACAGATCTTCATTCTGTGAGACTAAGGCGGGGCTTAGGAGTGTGTGTTTGTAAAAGGCTGATACACAAAGTTGAGAACTACTGATGTTGCTGGTTGTCCCATGACATTCTTTTCCATTCATTCAATCTAAAGAAATGGATGCTCTGGTCATTTTATATACTTGAGAGAGGAGACTGCACCTGGATTTCAGATCCTTCCAGATTTTTGGAATGCTTGGTTGCATATGTGGTTAGAAAAATTATTTTGCCCATGGCAATTGTCTCACTGAATGGCTCTCTGTTTACCAAAGCTGGAAGCCTTGGGTTTGATTTGCACACAGCTCTATGGACTCAATGTTAAAGTGTCACCAACGGCCTTTAATGCATACACAGGCTTTTTTGAAGGCTAAGACACAGCCACATTACCCAACAGCAAGACAAAGCGCATACATACTTACTGGTAAAAAAAAAAATAAAAAAATGCAGGTGTACTCTTACTGAGAAACAAAACTGTTTGTAAAAAAAAGAAAAAGAAAATTATGACCAAGACAGGAAAAGAAAATCTAAGTACTCATGATAATGGGAAGAATCAGACCTTTGTACTTCCTTAGTTATTTTTCAGTCATTTCTTTCTTTTCTTTTCTTTTTCGGTACATAATGAGGGAACAGAAATGCTGAGGGCTGGGTGGGTGTGGTACCATGTGCATTTCTGAACTGAAGGCCTTTAAAAGTCTCCCAGTAGCTTTGAGTCCTTTCCACTTCCAAAGCCATTCTTTACTCCACCAGCCATAAATGCATCTGTATTTCTACACGCAGGGGGAAAAGTTGGCGAACTTCCCTTTTATCAGGATTTGCTCACTCTGGAATTTTATTGCCCTCCACGTGACTCTTTTTCCTGTGTACTCAAAGCACTCCCAGCACCTGGAATTAGGGCACAGGTTCAGAAGTTGAAAGCACACTAATTCTGAGGCGCTTTTAATTATTAGGCCCTATCCCAGACCACCGGCAGGTCCCAGGCCGGGAACCGGAAAGCTTCCTACCTGGGAAGCCAGACAGGTTTCCCTCTCTGACATCCCCAGCTGGAATCCTGCTTCCAGGGTTTTGCTCCTAATAATCCCTTAGGGATGAAGTCTGTTTGGGAATTTTAAGCCATCCGCCACACCTGTGCTAAATGTGAGCCACCTGAACCACGTGGAGGATCAGCTTTATTACTTGCCAGGTTTCAGCCAAACCCACACATTCCGGGGCGCAGAGGAGCAAGTTTCAACAGCACCCCGTGCAACGGCTCTCTGATCCAGGCGACGAACCACAGCCCAGTGGTGGTGGCTCTGCTGTCCTCACTAAATGGGTGGCCTTGGAGGCCAGAGAACAAGCTAAAGGGATCACACCACAAACCCCGCAGCCTCCTGCGTCCCACTCTACCCCGCCAGGTGCTTACCCCGTTCTAACTGAAGGGGAGACCTCAGACACCGGTCTCTACTCTAAGTGCGGAACGAAACCCAGCTCAGGGCATCTTGGGAAATGTAGTCCCTGCCAGCTCCGGGGGGTCCCCGGGTCCCTTCATGAGACCCCGCAGGGGAATTTCTCGGCGAGGGCCACCGGAAGCCGGAGCTACAGTCCGAGTGTAGAGGGGAGGGCGCGCCCCGCGGAGGGTTCGGGGTGTTTCAGCGGGTCCGAGCGAAGGGAGGAACTACACTTCCCAGGCGGCCTAGCGCGGAGCTGGGAGCCGGCAGCCTCTCTGCGTGACCGCGGCAGGTTGGTCCTGGAGCAGATGAGCGCAGAATATTTAGGCGAAAGCGCGAGGAGGGGGGAGCGCGGGGCAGGAGGAGTATCTCGGCCAAGAAAATTATGCATGCGTTAGGGAAGCTCTGAGAGAATGGCTGTGGAAGGTAAGGGACGCTTGGGCATTTTAAGCTCCCTCTTAACCCGCGCACCCCAATACACACATCCCCGGTGAATCTTGGGGAACGAAGGGAGGAGAGGAAAGGGGGTGGGGGCGAGAGGGCCCTTTCCTCCAACCCCTCTTGGCGCTCACCTGAGCCACAGAAGGCCACTAGGCGCTTTATTCATAGTTGCTTTGGAAAGACACATAGGTGCGTAGGACTTAAGGGTAGGAGACCAGGAGTGTCCCTAAATGTGAAACGATGTGCTGGATATTGGGGAAAAGCTCAGAGACAGGCATGAGGTCTTAGCCCCGAGGTGCCCCTTTCGCTGCCCCCTCCCACTAGGGCCAGGGGTGATCAGCGGGGTGGCCACCCGCCGGGGATGCTCGCTTTGCCCCCCACACGTTGGTGAGGACCCTGGCCAGGTGCGTCATCGGGAAGCATGCACTGCGATTGGGTCGAGGGCCCTCCGTCGTGTGCGCCCGGCAGGGGTGGCAGCAGATGTACCCAGAGAGTGGAGGTGCCCCTACACCTGTCTCTGTTTATACAGCCCGCCCGGGATTCCAAAGTTTACAGAAATGAAATGGAATCAGCCAGGGATAAAAAGGACAACCAACCTATTCGATGTGGGTGCATTCATTTCTTTGACGACCACCTGCCTCTTTCCCAGTATAATTCTGGCCTTTGGCTCAGCAATCCTACCTCCTTTGAACTTCCTGGTTGACAGCAGGGACAGGCGGTTTGTGAGGGATCCCGAGTTTTCATTTCAGATTCTTAGCTCGGAACACAGGTTTTCTTGTTGAGAGTAGTTTCTGGGGAATTATATGTGGACCAGACATGGCTGTGATGTAGAATCAGAGGTCAAATTGATAAAATGAAACAATCACGGGACTAAAGGGAGCCTAGTTCACCTATAGAATTATGGTTCCTGAGCGTGGCTCAGGTCAGAGGGGAAGGGGTAAGAAGGGGGGGGCGGGGTAGGAAAAAGAGGGCATTCTGCTGGTTGCGTAGGCTTCATGCCAAAGGGAAATGAGCATATTCCTTGTAGACTGGAGGCAAAAAAGAACCATAAGGGTTTGCTTTGCTTTCCACACCTCTCCCCGTCTCAGGTGAAAGAAACTAAGCTAATTTGACTCTGGCTGTTTATAATTACTTAACCTGAAGTAGCAACAACCCAGCCCCTGTGCTCAGTTTCCATCAATGCAGGAAATTATTGCCTTTGGGCTACCTCAGGTTCAGAGATCCCCAGCTGGTCACTTCTAGTTATCCATCTACCCATATCTAATATATTTATATATTTTGTTTTTAAAATTATATATAACATATATACCTTTGAAAAGAAAAAAACAGCCAAAGTCTTTTCTAGGTTTTCTGTACAAATGTAATATTAGGTTAGAATCTGGCTTTTTGCATGTTTAAGTTGATGATGAGTGAGACAAGAGTTCAGATTAAACAGGCAAACAAATAAAACCCCAACAAGGTAAAGTTCATCCTGAGCTTGAGGCCAAGATTGACGTATGGACACCCCTCTATTCTCACTCCTCAGATGACATTATTACTACTTCTGTTCCCCACTTCTCTGTGTCCCCAATGAGGAACACTCCAACTGCTTGCCAATCCACAGTGTACTTGAAAACAATTCTCTGCTCATTGGAAGAAGTATAAAATTAGTCGTATTTCTTGTCTGATGGTTATTATACTTATGAAAACAAGGGCTTTGGGAGGAAATATATGTGGACTGTAGATAACTTATGAGGAAAATAAATCTAGTGACTTATTTGTTTAACATGACTATCTGGTAAACAGGAGATCCTGAGTTTGAATTACAATGAGGTCTCCACTTGAAGAATGAAGGAAGTAGTTTAAACTTTGGCTGTAAAAATGCTTTCTCTTTCTGGTTTATGCAAAGGCAGTTTTTTGTTTTGTTTTTTTTTTTTTCTTCGTGCCTGGACTGGGCCCTTCCTGGCTACTCTCATTTGTTCTTTCGAGGCTCAGGGAAAATTTCACTTCCTCCGGGAACCTGTCCCAGCCCTCCTTTTTGTCTGCCTTGCCAGCCCTCTGTCCTGTCTATGGGGGCGGCACCTTCTGCACTATGCAGCCCTACCTGGCTCCTGTGCTTACATCTGGCTTAAGTCTTATCATACTTGATCTCTCTTATCAGAGCATGAGACTGGAACCCTTTACTTCCAGCACAGTACCTGACCATAATAGGTACTCAGTAAATGCTCTTGGAATGCATGGGGAATAAATTCACGGAGCTTTTGCAACTGACTCCATAGGGCATGGGACTTTCTAAGGAGTCCAGAGATTAGAAGGTAGGGGGCAGTTCTCAAGGATGTGCCCCGCTCTTCAGTCTTTTGTCTTGATACTCAAAAAATCTTTTAGACCAGAGTTCTCATCTTAGGGGGCGTTGCCCTCCTAAGGCTTGTGTGGGACAAAGGGTGTGAGGATCAAATAAAGGAAAAGGCTTCTTCTATAAGGGTGCCTGCAGCACAGGTCCTCAGTATATGTTGTCTGTATTCCCTCCCATGCTTTGTTTAAAAAAATCAAAACCTACTTGGCACATGTTGTACATCCTAAGTTTTCACTGTTCACACTAGTCTCTAATTGGTAACAAATTAGAAGGTTTTTGTGATGGTGTAACCCGTTTTTTAAAGTAAACGTGAACTTGCAAAAGAGTTAAAAGCTCATTCCTTTTACCGAACCCATAGCCTTGAGTCTAAGATGAAAAAGAGGTGCCCTTTGCTTATTGTTTTATGTCTGCCCTGATTTGTGTTTTCTCCTTTGAATTTAATAACAACATCCTCCTTCTGTTCTCTGGCCTGACCAATGCCCTGCACTCATGGGCAGCAGCTGGCTACCTTGGAGTTGTGCTTTCCAAGCACAGAACACGTGATGGTCTGCATTCAGATGGGGATTATACTGCATCCATTGTCTCTTAAAAACAAAAACAAAACCATTGTTATAAATTGCCCCCAAATAGCTGGAGAACTGGGACTCCTGGAGAGGAGGTAGCACGCAGAAGCCACAGGGCAGTCCACTCTCCATGGGTAGACGGTGTAGACAGTTGTGTCCACTGAGACGCTGTTAAGTCCCTGAAGTGGGTTGCAGTATTACACAAGGAGAGAGAAAAAGTGGATTCATCAGAGACTGTGTTGTATTCATTTCTTTATTCCAAGATTGGTGCCTGGCCCTTGGAGGACCCGGTAGTTGTTTCATGAACGAAGTATAAAGTGCCCCAAAGCCAGAGAAGGGTTCTCTAAGCCCCTGTCCCCGGTTTATCTCCTTGCTTCATGCAGAGCTGTGTAACTGAAGTGGAGCCGGTGAACATTGCACACAGTGTTCCTATTCCAGACCCAACAGAATAGCCCTTCTTACATGGCAGAACTGATTTCCATTATTCAGCATCCCCCCCACCCCCGCCCTGCAAAAAGTTCAGCTGGAAGGCTGTGTGCTCTAAATGACATCTGTGTCAGGGAATCTGAATTTTCCATCAGAAGTGAACAAATTGGCGTATCAAATGGTCTCTGATGAGTCATTCAGTGCTCAGGTTCTATAATTTTTCTCCTATAAAAGAGGGAAAAAATGGCCCATCACCAAAATATTGTTAGGATCAGTAATAACAGTGCTGGGGAAAGAGCAGAGGAGATACACCTGTAGAGGAGAAGTGGAGGAAAATGTCGGCTGCGGACCCTGCTTGAATTCAGAACTCAGTCACAGAGGGGGACAATGGGCGATCGAGGCCCCGTGGGTTACTTTTCCTAGCTTTGGGTCGAATGAGAAAGTGGACTGGCTAATATTGCACCCCACCAGGGAAACACCCTCCTAGATGTGCCTGATGGTGACACACAGCCAGATGACAGAAGGGGCTCCCACAGGGGGACCTCAAGGACGGAGGGGGACCCAAGCCACCTGTGCTTTGCTCCTCTTCACAGACTTGCGTGTAAATCATTGTCTTCTCCTCTTTAGAGAAAAGCCCATGGGGGAGTGGAGAGAGACCAGAGTGTCATTCTCCTGATGTCCCCTCGTAGGACACAGGAAGCAAGGGAAGCCGGCTGTCTCAGTGGTAGCACACCTGCGTTTTCTAACTGCATTTCCCTGATGACATTCATAGGCACCTCTTCTGCTTGATGGTGCTTTCTGAAGGCAGGTACTGGCCTATGGTAGCCTCTGCAGAAAGCTAGCTGAATGAATGAATGAATGAATGAATGGAATTATGGGTGCTTCTGATTTCCACATAGCCCCCTTTCACTCCTAAGGAAAACTCCCAACGGTGTTCATCTGCAGAGTAGACATAAAAACAGCGGTCCTGTGGACAAGTCTCCCTGACAGGTTCCATCTGTGCAGTGTCACGGAGCTATTGTTCAACTAACTGCTACCCACTTCGCTATCACCAAGCGTCCTTTTTTTTTTTTTTTTGTCTCACCTAGTTTTTATTTTGTTCCCTAGCCCATGTGATCTGACCCTCCTGCACCAGCAGCTTCTATTAGTCACTCTTTTAGGACATGAGAGTGGTGACTAGAAGCCCTTCGCTGACAATCCCTGTGAAGTGACTGAGCAGTGGGGCCCCAAACCTGCCGTGGGGCTGGTTCCTGCCACTCCCTCGCTTCCTCCGACCTCCCAGACCTCCCAGCCGGTCCAGACAGGGCTGCAGCCTAACCCTGCTGTTGCATCGCCTGGCCCAACCCTTACTAACTCCTTTGAGCCCACCCTTCTTTCTCATCCCTCTTGCCTTACTCATAGGCCAGAAGGAACAGGGCCGGTGCTCACAGGGGAGATGTGGGACCTTTGGCGGTGTAGCTGCGGTCCGGAACGCTGAGTCACAGCGGGTGCTGTGGGGACCTGTTACAGGAGGGGCAGCAGGGATCTGAAGCTGGTACTTGAGCTCAAGGGAATGTCAGATGCGCATTTAATTAATTAGGAGGGGGTGGGAATTGCAAACTCTCTTCCAGGGGCATTTAGGCAAGTTTGCATTTTCAGTAGATGAGCAATAAGAGTGCTGCCAG